TCATGCCTCGCAGCGCAGACCGGCTCTGGGTCCGGGACAACGTGACTCTTCTGGTTACGAACTTGGCCATGCCACACCCGGATTCCTCCACTCTACCACAGGCCCCAGCTTCTAATGGGTGGCTTGGGAACAGGCTGACGTGCTACCCTAGGGTAAAGGGAGACGGTGTCAACAACAACGGAGCTGGCCCCAGACCTGGGGGACAGCTCCCTACAGAGAAGGCGCTGGGCATGGCTGTGTCTCCAGAGACCTTCCAGCCAAAGCTGGCCAGCTCAGAACAGGCAAGGGCTGCAGGAAAGGACATCGCAGAGCTCCACCCGGTCAGCTCAGGCACGTCACTGTCCTTGGACAGACAGGCAGACACGGAGTCAGAGACGGCAGACAGACCACACTCCTCCCCGGACGGAAAGCTGCTGAGGACTCGTGGGACAGGCCCTGAATTAATACAGGCGCTAAAATATAGAGACGAGGACGTTAGAACAATTACGACTGATCCTTGCCTTCTCGATGGTACCTTCTCTGTGTCTTCACATCGCCTTCCCTCTGTACTTGTCTGTCTCGGTCCCAATGTCTCCTTTTTATAAGGACACCTGTCATATGGGCTCAGGTCCCACCCTAAAGATCTCGTCTCAACTTGATCCCCTGCAAAGACCCTGCTTCCAGATAAGTTCCCATTCGCAGATACCGGGGGTTTAACCAACGCACTTGGTTAAATATGTGCCCATTGCAACCCAGGCACTGGGCGCAGAGAAAATTCTTGCGCATCTACTCTCTGCCATCCAAAAGGTCATCGGCAGAAGGATGGATAGAAAAATATGCATTAAAGAGAGACTATATAGCAGGGAAAATCAATGAATTACAGCTCCACACATCAGCCTGGAGGAATCTCAAAGTCATACTATTAAGCTGAAAAAAGCAAGTCGTAGAAGAACCTATACAGTTCGATTATACAATAAAGATCCGCGAGATCAGTTCTATCAACGTCGTCTTTGCTCAAACACCATCTCAGAGGCCTTCTCCCTCACCCCACCTCAAGCTCAAACTCCATCCCCCTCAACCACTTGCCTCCTCCCCCTTATTCTGCTCTATAGTTTCTTTCCCCGGAGCACTTGTCAACTTCTAACAAATTACATAATTCACTTACTCATGTGTCTAGTAGTTATCATCACACTCCTCCTTCCAGACTGTTAGGGCCACGAGGGCAGAATCTTTTTTTCTTTTGTTCATGGACATCAACCAAGTACCTACAACTGTACCTGGTACTAAGTAGGCTCTGAACATATATTTCTTAAAGCGAGTGGTACGCGAATGTTCGTTTATGATTATTTTTAAACTGTGTTCATGCATTACACCTGGTCTGCTGTATACGTGACGTCTCATAGTAAATAGCATTTGAAGAAAATGGATGTGCTATTTCTTGCGAAACCCGGGTCTTGAACTGAGATGCGGCCCCTTCATGATCTATGCCACCTCCTTAACCACAGAAAGCCAGGGTCTGGCTGCATGATTTCCCCAAGGGCATGCCCTCTTGTGTATGACGATGAGTGACAGGGAAAGTCAATCTACCCACGAGACGCAGTCTTCCGTGTTTTATTTCTGCTTTGACAGGGTTTTAAAATGTGCTCATGAATATTTGTACTGACAACTACAGAGAACATGACTGCTTTGCGGAGAGAAGTAAAACCACCTGGTAAATTTGCCTTGTGCTTCCTTGAGAAAACAATGTCAAGGCCACAGTCACAGAACCAAATATGCACGATCGTGGCCTTGACGAGCTCATCACAGTGAAATCTCCAGTAACTACCAAATCGCTTCCATATGACCACCCAATATCAACCCCAGGCAGAGTCAACCAGCTGCCCTATGAGCCATCATTGGCTCAGCCGGTTTAGTTTGCAGCTCAACTTTGTTCTTCCTTGTCAAGATCGTTTTTGACTGTTCTGGGTCTCCTGCATTTTCATATCAGTTTTGGGATTGGCTCATCAATTTCTTCCCAAACGTCAGGTGGGATCTTAATAGAAATGGTGTTAAATCTGTAGATCAGTTTGGAGGGGGCTGCCATTGTAATAAAGCGTTTGATTTTATTTTTTGATATCTGACTGCTGACAGCTCTTAAGTCTCATCCATTTCAGTCCCCCTGTGCCCCACATCCTGACAAGGAGTAAGAAAGCTTAAATGTCTTCTCTTTTGGTGCTAGTGGCAATTAAATGCATCCAGATTTGTAATGAAGAAGTAAAACTATCTTTATGTATAAATGGCATGGTTTTGTATATCTCAAGTCATCAGAAAATCACACAAAAAACTATTGATCATCCATCTACAGTTTCCATGGCAACCATCAACCAACCAGAATCTTCCATCATCTAGAACATCCTCTACCCTACCTTCCTTAAAGCTCCCAGTTCCCTCGCAAGGTGTTTTCCAGCCTCCAGCGAGTGCTAAGTTCTTGGGTGAGGAGACTCCCACAGGTCGATGAAAGGCTCCAGCATGAGGAAGCCACTGGATTTGGTGGGTGGGTCTCGTTTCCGCTGTCATGTCAGGAAGGCCGCATCTCCAAGAAGAGGGCCAGCTCGTAGCAAGTGACGGGAGCTGGGTTCTTTCATCTTTCCGTATCAGGTCAGCCAGGAGCCCTGTGGTCCCACTTCCTGGCCCGGCAGGGGTTCCAAAGCCCTGAGGCAAAGGTGGCCGTGCCAGGGGTTCAGGTCGGGCAAACTTGGGGCATGGACATGAGATCAGGACACGCTCAGCTTCTTTCAGGGGCGACCTGAGCCACGGCTGTTTCCATTAGGAAGGAGATTCAGAATGAACTGCCCTTCACGTGGCCTCTGCACTTAGGATCCCAGAGGCCCCGGAGCAGGGGCTCCAGGGAATTTTACATTCCGTCTGCCACTAACGATGCCCAGTTCCCGCCAAGTCACAAAGCACAAGATTGAAAATGAACTTCAGGAACCTCAGTGACCTACCGCTCTTGGTTTTAGAGGTGACAGCTTCCACTGTGGCCTCAGCATCAAGTACACACTTGCACACAGTGTCATTTGTACCCAAGAGTGAACTCTGCTCCCTTAGAATAAAAGAAATTTAGGCGCCGCTACTTGGAAAGGGGACAGACTGACTTATACACTGTAGCTACTAAGATAAAGATACAAAAGTGAAAAGTAGCGGTGAGTGGGGATTATCTAGCATTTGTAGGGATGGAGAGACTATCAACGCACCTGCCTGGACCAGGTGGGCACAGAGAGGTGGCTCTGGGAGAACACAGCAGCACTAGGCCCCTTGGAGCCAGACCAGAAGGCAGGGGTGGGTGGGAGCAGGCAGTGGAAGGGACAGGGCCTTCCTGTGGCTCTGAGCCAGCTCTGCCCTTCATGGCCATATAACCCCAAAGTCCCTGTTTAACTGTCCCGTGTGTTCACTTGTAAACCGGGATTGGCTCTTACAGGGGTTGTTGGGAGAGTAAATGAGATGCACTGCTGAGCACACACACAGTAGGTGCTCAGTGAGCATCGAGCCTGGAGTGGGGGGAGCTGAGGGCCACCTAGCTAAGCCCGATTCCTGGTTGACAAGACAGGGGTGGACAGGGGACAGGGAGGCTAAGCAGAGACTGCAAGGCAACCACAGCTCAGCCGAGGTGAGGAAGGAATGGCCCAGACCTGCACCAGACCCTCCCGCAAGCATCCTTGGCTCCCCTGGGTTCACCAGACGCCAGCTCCATGGGCGTCCACCGCAGCCAGGCTCAGGCTAACCAGAGCAGCCACCATTCTGCCGGGGGAGGTGGGGGCTCGCAAAGCCTCACCCCTCCCTGCCCTCAACTCCAGACACAAAAAACACAGGCACCGAGGCATCTTCCAGTGCACTTTAATAAAAATTCCATCATCGGAAGAAAAAAGTTCTCACAGCATACAATGTCAAGATGGGCGTGTCGGCTTGGTCCTACAAATGGAATTTCAACAAGATTTACACTTCAAACATGTATGAAAAATAAAATATATAATATTTAGCTTTATCAATTTCCCCCACTTAATCACTTTGTCTTTAAAATAAATTACTACTACCTCTGTCCAATAAATGAAGCGGTCTGGAGTCACTAAGCAATTATCAGCCAAGGGACATCCACTTCCTGAAACAGTTCTCGGGGAAATGCTCAAATGCTTACAGGAATCAACATGAGTTAAAACTAGCAAATTCCTCACAGCAAGGTGAGACATTGAAAATGGGAGCCTGCTAATGGCTGTTCTTTTCTGCTGGGGAAAATAAATTCCCCAAACCACACGGAATGGTTGTAAAAGCTGCAACTGAACTTTTGGCACCAGTGGACAAAGGGGGGCCTTTCAGAGCCATAGTCGATGACAAAGCATTGGTCCGAGGGAGAGGGGACAGAGGAGAAGGGATGACTCCACGGCCATCGTCTATTCCAAGTCCCCCCTCCAGCCCCCTCTGTGGAGCCACAGACGTCCCTCCACCTTAGAGAAGGCGGCATTGTCTGGGCAGCCCGCCCACCCCTCGAGCCTGAAGGTCCTTGGATAGAAAGACGCACAGCAAAGAACACGAGAGAGGCCGCGCTGAGGAGGTGAGGGGGGGCCGCGTGGCGCCTGCTCAGTGGACGGCAGGGTGTACTCAACACACAAGGGACACGGCCGCTCCAGAGGGCGGGCTGCACGGCCTGCAGGGGGGTGGACAGACAGCACACAAGACACCGCGAGCCCGGGGGGCGGGCGGGCCAGGGCCCGCTGGCAGTTACAGGGGTCTGAACAGGACCTGAAGGACCGGAACCCTCCCCCACGGCGGGAAGTCAGATACTGGCCCACCTGCGGCTCAGGGCTTTTCCCCAGGGATTCTGGCCCCATCCCGCCAAAACAACAAGATAGCGGTAAGGAACGAATAAGCTGGTGACGAGTGCTGCCACGGAGCCTGTCTGTGGGGGCCTCACGCACTCTAGCGGGAGGTTTCTATAGTCTCCCCGGGGGACTTGGGGCCCCCCAGCCTCCTGGACGGGGTTGGGGGGGCTACAAGTCAAGGAGGCGCTCCTCGCAGGTCTCCACGGGCCACTTGGATGCCCCTCCAAACACGTCGACATTGTTGTCCACCCAGGGGATGACGTTGCCAGGCATGTTCGTGGAGCAGTTGGCGATGTTGACGATTTCCTGGGCACGGAGGACGCGGTCCCAGATGTTGAGCTGGCTGAGCTCCCCGACAAACGCCTGCGTGGCATCGAACCGGCCCCCGACGGTGTCCTGTGGAGGGACAGATCCGTGTCACTGCATGTGCAGAAGCTAACTCTCCTGGCCCAGGACCGGCGTCTGGGAGAGGACGCTGGGGGTGGACCGGGGCGTCCTCCTGACTCCCCCGAACTCTCCCTGGCCACCGAGTCCCGTGGGGCCTGGAGCCCCAGGCACGTCAGGCCTGGGAGATGGCTTCACTCCAACCACCCAGTTTACAGGGGGAAACTGAGGCCAGAGCAGGGAAACACCTGCCCAAAGTCCCAAAGCTCGGGTCCGCCGGCTCCCAGGCCCTCCCGGGGGAGAGGTGAGGGGGGCGTGGGCCGAGAAGAGCCCAGACTCAGCCCCGCCCCCCAAAAGCACCTGGCGTCTATTCCCACTTTCCATCAGCAAACCTCAAACACAGCCCGGAGTGTCAACTCTCATCTGCCCAAGCGAAGACGGCCAGCTTGGCGTCCGCTCCCCAGGCGGTGTTTCTCAGGGGCGGACTCGGAGGCCTCGCCCTGTCCTCCCGTCTCCCCTGCAGGGCTGAGCACCCCACAGGCGTCCCCTACGTGCCCTCAGACCCTGAGCCAGCGGCTTCTGGAAGATGCCATACCAGCCCCCCGCATCCGGAGTCGATACTGCACCTGGTAGAGGCCAAGTGGCCAGAGAGACAGCCCAGTGGCCAGAGAGATGGCCCAGTGGCTACATGGCTTGTGACCCCAGGGACACTCCTGCCTGCCTGTGCTGGACTCCTCTGGGATCTGTCTGAACCTCCCACAGCAGCCCAGGACCCCGGCCGCAGCCCCTCAGGCCACAGGACAGTGTGAGCGGGGCGAGGCGTGACCCTCACGTCCTGTTTTCCACTCCCCTGTACTCACCTGCTCCTGCCCAAGGATCAGCACACCCCTCGGCTTGATAGGGTGCCAGGGGGCCAGGTTCTCCCCGGTGCCGAGCTTCTCCCCATCCTGGAAGGCCTCCCACATGCCGTCCCGTGTTGTCCAGGTGACACAGATGTGGTGCCACTTGCCGTCACTGACAGACAGGGGCAGCTGGGCAACCTGCGGGTGGGAAGGTGCAGGTGAGGACCCCTCGTGGGGTTCCCGGAATCTGACCTGGGGGGCTGAGGCCTGCCGCTGCTCCCGTCACACGGGGTCCCTCCTGGCCTCCTCTCTACTGTGTGGGTAACGTGCCTGACCGGCCCACCTCCAGGACAAAGGGGTAGCCTGCGCACAAGCCCCCAATTCCAGGGTGGCCCTGCTTTCAACTGGACACCCTTGTTCCCGGCTTAGCCGAGGGTGCAGGATACTGAGTCAAGCAAGCAGATGTGACAGACACCCATGCACACTGGCTCTGAACATTCCATGTTGGAGAACCCATTTAGCTGAGGGTGCAGGAGACTGAGTCAAGCAAGCAGATGTGACAGACCCCCGCCCCACACACACTGGCTCTGAACATTCCATGTTGGAGAACCCAGAGTGCAGTCTGGGCCCTCTCGGGCAAACTTCTCTGGACAACAGTCAGATCAGGCGCCTGCACTCCACAGGCAAGGTCTCAATGGCCATCGCGGCACTCGGGGACTGTGTGCGTGGGTGTCCTCCCGAGCAGAGCACTGAAGGCCTACCATTGCAAGCGAGTGTTTTGGGGAGCCACGCACAGGACTAGGGGAAGGGCCGTCCCACGCACACCCATCTACCGCATCCTGAGTGCTCCACAGACCAGCTGACTGTGACTCCGCCCGTTGTTACTGCTGGTGTCCTAGCAACCCGCACGCCTCTCAGGAATTGTCTGTTTACACACTGTCTAAACCAGGAGGGAAGCAAGCCTCGGGGCCCTCGGGGCTGTGTCCAAGGGTGTTATTTATTAATCCCTGGCTCAGGGGTGTGGTCTCCGCTGGAAGGGGCCCAGCAGGTGGACTACACAGTGTTTCTCACTTAAGCAAACTCCACCCAGGGCAGTTCAACAGAGATGGACAACGTGAGGAGCAGGGTGGACAGGGCTCCCGGGCTCCGGCAGCCTGGGAGTGGGTGCGGCCATTCACATGCTCAGCTCCAGCAAGGAGGATGTGAGGACATATGAGAAGTATCACACACTCAGACGCACACACATACATCCTCCTCTAGTCAGTGCAGCCCCGGGGGGCAGCCCCCACTGACTGGCCCAAGGGCCGGTGACAATTCAGACTGGCATGCAGCCATCCCAGCTCATTCTGTTCCTTCCATGACCTGTGGCCTGGACCCTCTGCTACTTCCCACTAGACTCTTAGCTTGGATCTCCATGAGCTGCAGCTGCCTGCCCTCCGCCCCTGTCCCCTGCATAGTCAGCTGCCCAGAGCAGGACTGAGTCAGTGCAGAGCCATCCCCATCGTGAGTAGGAAAGGCCACAACCAGCTGTCAGACTCCCTGCAACTTCCCGACCTTTGTCACCACCACGACGACAGAGGTGGCATCCAAGCCGGCCTCACCTTGTCATTGATGAGCAGCTCGATGGGGTTGTTGCCCCATTCTATCAGCACGATCTCGTTGGCCTGCCCGGGCACCGCGTAAGAGAACGGGGTGCCGATGCCAGGCGAGGCGCTGGACCGCAGCCACAGGCAGATGGTGAAGGCGTACAGCTCGGGCAGCGTCTTCTTGACCTTGCCATACAGGTAGTTTGTGCGGAGGGGGAGGGACACTTTGAACGCATCGGGGGACTTGAATGCACTATTGCCTGGGGAGTGAAAGAGAGGCCAGCAGTGCTTTAGCTCAGCCCCACCATTGTGGCCCAGCTTGACCGCTCACCTGGACCCCAACCTCTGACCCAAGTGGTCCTTCTCTGGAGCACCTGCTACCGGGCAGCCACTGTCCAAAGTGCTGAAACTCCGACAGTAAACAAGAGCATCCTCACTCTTGGAAGCTTAAAGAAGAGGGTAGGGCAAGCTGGACTTAGTTTTCTGGTTAAAGTAAGCCAGAAAACCCTTCCTCAGCCAGGTCTTGTTATATCCTTGAAATCTCAGCCCCTTCAGCGTCTTCAGCAAGGGTGGGGTGGGGAACCCATTTGGTGGGTATGGAGGCAGGACATGTTACAAGGTCTCAGGTATCCGATAGACACTTGTCACTTCTCACAAGAAAGAAGCACCACTGCCAGGGCAAAAGAGTCGGTGCCTGTGTCTATAACTTAATTCAGAAGTGGCCTTTGGACAAAGTCCCTGAAGTGAGTGGCTTACAAGGCTCGTGATTTGCCTTTTCCTCCCCAAGAGAAGAGTTTGCTGACTATTTCCTGCAGGTTGAGTCAAGCGGGAGGCAAAGGAATGCAGAGGTGACCCTCTCCACTGAGAGCAACAAGCTGGCCAGAGCCCAGACCCTTCTGGACCCACCTGGGACTGGCGAGAATCCTCCTGGCCATCCCCATGTAAATGGTGCTTCCAAATTCTTTTAAAATGACTGGTATCGGGTTTAAGCAATTTTCAGTACAGTTTTGGTTTAAGCTTAAAATTAACAACAAAAATAAACACACAGAGGGCAAGACCCTGTCTCCAGCAATCAGATTCCAAAATTGGCAGGATATCACCCGATTTTGTGAGCTGTCATGGCAAAAGCTTCCCTCTTATTTGAGGACCAGATGCCGCCGGTGAAAAAGCCAAACTGCCTGTCACTAGTGGACTAAATCAGTCCCTTCCTCGCCCCTTCTGCAGGACAGGAGCCAGAACGGGTCAACTTTGCTCCACTAGGACCCTGAAAACTCATTTTCTGTCATAGTAAACAATGCACGAGGAAGCTCTTTGGCGTCAAGTTCACACCCATCTGAGGAAGACCTTCTGCGAAAGGAAGCGATGGAACCCAATGTCAGCCTCTCAACCTCCTGGGAACAGGCAGCATGGAAATACTAGAATATTTACTGCTCTCTGCTGATTGTGCGGTCTTGCCTGATGCACCGTGACCCCCCATGACAGGGCACCCTCCACACAGGTTTTAGAGCTGCTGAGCACCTGGCGAGGGCTGAGAAGACCTGGTCACCTAGGGGAGCCCAAAGTGGGGCTCGGTCAGGGTATAAGGCTCCAAGGGGCTGACGCAAAATCGAAGCAGAAAACCCGAATGCCCCCACTCTTGACGTCACGGGGTGCACAGCGGAGGCATCCAGGCTCAGAGAAGCTAGGTGATTTACCTTGGGGCATGGAGCAAATGAATGACAGAGCAGCGAGCAGCAAACCCTCTTTCCACTACGTGCAGCCACTAGTATTTAATCTGCAAATTCCCAAGCTCTTCACGAAGTCGTGATTATCTAATAAAGGAAAATGGCTTCTATCCTCACAAGCGGGCAGGCTTGCTGATTTAATAAGGCTCAGTGTTGGTAATATCGTTAGCTCGGTGACAACAGATAGGTTTAATTAGAGCTGTGGGGAGCTGAGGGGCAGTGGAGGGGGTCCATATCCTGGAAGCTGGTGCCCTCTGTTTATATCAAACAGTTTGGAGGTTCAGAAGAAACTTAGTTAAAACCAATTGAGGCATTAAAAGCTCTGATCGATAAATCAGAGGCTGCAAGTGGTGGACAAGGCTAAGGAGGGGGCGGCCTGGAGCCTGCGAAGGGAAGGGTGGACTGCTGCTGGAATGGTAAGGAGTCAGGTGGTTTTTCTGCACCTGGGACAGGTAGGTTCAAGCCCATCCCCGCAACCGTGGGAGCAGTCAGCACCCAGGGGGCTGGGAGTGGCCACTCCCTCACCCAGGTGGCCTGGCCTGGAAATGGGCAAAAGAGCCTTGGAGTTGGCCCCCTCTCTGCCTGCTCTTCCTTGCTCTGAGCCCAGCTTCCCCTGCACTGCAGCCAAGAACCAAGACCAGGGGTGGGGGGTTGGGAGGGACGACAGCCAGAGGGCGACAGAGAAACCAGCGAAGCCCTCAGCACTCACCTCGCTCCAGCTCGGTCACCCTCTCCAGCAGCGCGTTCAGGGCGCTCTCGGTCTTCTGCCGGTGAGCCGAGGTCTCGTTGTGGAGCAGGGACTTCTCGTCCTCCAGCTCCGCCACCTTGCGCAGCAGCTGCCGCTCCAGCTCCCCCAGCCGCCGCTGGAGCACATCTCGGAAGTCGCTGGGCAACGCGGCCGCCGACACGTTCACTCGGAGCTGGTGCTTTGGGGCCGGGAGACAGGTCGGAGTAGGATTAAGGCCAGTTAAAAAAGAAATTGTGAAATGAAGCTCCACGGGCCCCGCCCCACAGGGAGAAGATTCCAAAAACAAGAGTATTAAACCATTAGTGCCAATGGCACTAAGGGGAGCATTTCACGGATGCTTTTTTTGGGGGGGGGGTATGGAAAGGATTTCAGAGTCAGACAAGAATGACTTTGCTGCAATATTTGAAACTTATAAATCTCATTGCCCCCTATCAGAAAGTTGTTCTGCTCCTCTTACTAAAAAGCCAAAATTTTAACTAACATCTACCATTCTCAGGTAAAGACCAAACATAGCTTGAATTTTTTCAAGAGGAACCAGATGTCACTCAAAGCCGATGTGCTTTCATCTAGAAATGAAAACGGCCCTCAAATTCCTGTGTGGCACAAAGGTTGCTTGCAGAGATGTCACTGGAAAATGAGATCTAAAACGCGACTATTCTGAATTCCAGGAATCTTTGCTTTGAATGCCGTTTCTAAATCCCCCCTGCCTATTTCTTTTACTCCTCTACCCCCACGCTGGCTCTGAAGCTGGCTCATCACTGCCCAGCTGGGAGTCCTTAGCATGCTACCCCTCTCTCCAAGTGCTCCAAATTATAAAATGCCTCACAGGATTGTTTCAAGGGTTAAAATTAGATAATATTCCCAGCACATACATATTTAGTGTTCTAAAAATGTTAGCTGTTATTAATCATAATGAATCAAGGGATATACAGATGCTGGAAATACTGTACTGAGCTCTCATGCCACGGGAAATCCTCAAATAATTTTGCGGTAATTACCACCTGTAACTGAAACCTGGCTTTGCTAATAAATATTTTGGTGAACGTGATGAACAGAAATTCCACACTTCTTAACCTGGGTGGAAAGTGAAGATGGAAATTAAATGAAGACTACCTTCTCAAAGTTCCCAACTGCGTACACCTCCCGAGGGGTACCGGGGTTCGCTGCTTTCCCCCCCAAGCAATGGGGAAGGACACCTTAGTGTCTTTGAAGTTAACCAGGCCTCCTCCAAAGCGCGTCCTGGTGTGGAGGGTGACCCGCCCGCAGCGCTCGAGACCCGTCAAGACCCCCAGGCCCCTGCCCGCTCTGGCCCAGCGGGACCTGATTTATAAACGGAAACGCGGGACGTGGGGGCCGCTGACCTCACGCGGCAGCCTCACGTCACCGGGCAGAGCCTCCGGGAGCACAGGGCTCCAAGACTCCGAGAATTGCAAGAGGAGATGACAGGCAGTCCCGGCTTGCCAGCCCAGACGTCTGGGAAGTGAATGGCCGCACAGCGGGCAGTCCCGGCGAGGGGTGTTAACCCTTTCCTTCCAGCAAAGGGGAGGAGGCGGTGCGAGCCACTCAAGTAAGTTCGGTAGCACGACCGAAAACCATCACCCCCATCCCAAACCCAGCTCTCCCCGGGTCCGAACGCGCTTGCGCTGTCGCGTCCCGCACGGCCCGTGCCGGCAGGACCGTGAACTCCACCCCGGCCCCGCGCCTCGGGGGCGTCCCCGCGCCCAGCTAACCTCGAGGCTCTCCAGGCGGTCCTTGAGGGTCTGCAGAGAGCGGCTGAGCTGCTCCACGACGTGGCCGGGGTCCCGCGGCAGGTCGCCCATG